ATAATTATACGAGTAATTATATATCCAAATCACGCAAACATCAATTTGGTAGTGTAAAAACATTCATGAACAAGAGTCTGACCACAAGGTGGTGCCGGCGACGGGACGGTGCGGGCGATCGACGGTGGTTACGACAGAGATTTAGAAGACACTAAGTAAACCACACCTACATATGCAAACTAAGTGTTATTTTTTACCTCAAATTGCATATAAATCAAATACTAGCACATATAGTTCCTCCCACTGAACAAGCAGCTGGACACCTACATATAAATCTTGAGCAAGAAATAAATTAGTACATGACTGAAGATGGCAGAATTGGGTAGTTGTATATACAAGTGAAAATTGGGCATCTCTATTACAAGCACCATCATAGAAGAAAATAGAGTTATTTTTGGTTGAAATTTTAAATCGGTTGTCTGGGCTTTGCATGAGCATCAAGGTGATATCTCAGGGTGGACACGGTCCGGTCCGGTCCGGTCCCTGACCGAGCCTTCGTTTGGACTGGCCGTCGGCGGTCCGGACCGGACCGGACCGAGCAGGCGAGCGGTCCTGTTTCTGGGGACCGGACCGGCGGCGTCAAAGCCCGGGCCAGCCCGAGTGGACCGAATGGACCGGCCAGACCACCAGCGACGATGTGTGCGGTTGCTGCGGTGAGGTGTGGCGTACGTGCGCTACTGCTGCGATGAAGTGGACGACGTGCGCGAGCGCTGACCTGCGCGAGAATTGACTGACAACTGAAAGTTTGACGAAACTGACGAAGTGGATTTTCTGAATCTGACTGTTGGAATATCCCTACAAGACCGGCTGCACCAACGTGAGATTGTCTCACGTAGCTCTCTCTCTCTCCGTAACAACTAGTCCTGGTCTCTAGTGCATGAACTGCATGATCTCATGAGCTTATCTAGATGAGTTAGTTACGGAGGTTGTGTTGGAAGATGAATGAACATACAAGTTGTTTCTCTCCTGTTATTCCTTATTTCACTGACGAAACTGACATGCGCGAGAAATCCCGACGAGCATGAGGGACTCCTCGAACAGCAGCGGCGACATCACCTTCAGAGCGTTCAGATGGTGCCCAGTTATTCCTGGTGGTGCCGGTGAGTCGTTCGCCTACCTGGGGCAGCTGGTGGCCGGTGTACGTGATGTCTCCATGGCCGAGAACTTCAGATCGGCGGCGGTGCACGCATGGCAACGACGGCGAGCGGTGCCAAGAGGCGATGGCGCACTGGGAGGTGAGGAAGGGATGAGAGGGGAAGCGCGAGGACATGATGGTTCACACGGGGGCTGCCGGTGGCCACGACGACGAGGAACGGCGGCGGGGGTGACTACCTTTTCTCGGTCCGACCGAGCGGCTCGGTTAAAGACCGGACCGGACCGACATTTTCTCGGGCCGGAAATTGCAGTCCGGACCGACCACTTTTCCCACCGGTCCTGGACCGTACGGTCCGGTCCTAAACGGGCCACGAGCGGGCCGAAAAGCTTGCTCCTGCCGTCTACCCTGAGTGATATCAGCACTATCCTTTCTTGTTTGCAGGATTGCACTAACCTTTACCATCTCGGTAGTTCAATGGTCACTCGGTTATTCTTCTGAATTTCAATTTTCAGTGTAATACTGTCTTGAGTATCAATATATAGGGCAAACTCGGCAAGTTTGCAATTATTGTCGACATGTCTTCTGAATCTAACCATGTCTAACAATGCCTGCGACTCTGGGGAGCTTGATACTTAATCCTCGACATGCCATTTCTGAAATCTTAGAGCGAGTAGTACGTTTATGTAAAGCTGAAGTAGTGCCACTATGCTGATACGGTAACGTTTGATTTGCCCACAGAATTGACATTTCCACTTCACTTTCTTAGTGTTTATGTAGATCAAGAATGAGAGGACCAGTACATCCATATACTGACCATTCCACTGTCATCGGTCTCTGTACTCAGCATTCATAAGGAAAAAAAAGTTGAACTGAAATTGCCGGAGGTGACAGTCAGCAGATCTGAAGACCACGCACCGCACTCCCGAATGAACACAGGCATCTGCTTGTGACCGGAGATGCTGGGAGCGCGGTGGCACTTCATCGGAGGGTGCAACAGTTGCCGGACTTCCTTTCATCGTTGATCTGCCTGTGTCGGCATTCATTTCTCTTTCTTTTTTTTTTGTTTTCTTTTGGGCTTATCTGTGTTGCGGCCCCAACATGCTGGATGTCTCGGAGATTTGCTTTATAATATAAAGTGAGGGAAAACCCTTTTTCTCATCTGCTTGTGACCGTCAGTGAACAAACTAACCAGCAGCAAATTTCATCAGATCAATCGACAGAAGGACGCCGACAGAACAAAGAACCAATCAATAAGCAGAGATCTGAACGATCGATCATCTACATGGCGGCCTGGATCCCGAATCCGACGGCAAACCTATATTTACAGAACCAATTAAAAACGCAAAAGAAAAGAAAAGATGGCCTGATCGAACAACCATCCATTCCATCCGCCATGAATCAACCGAGCCTGGATGCTGCACCCTGCTTCTTCTTCTGCACCTTGCCCTTGATCCACTGGAACCCGTGCGGGGTGCCCTCATTCACCTTCTTCAGCCCCGTGGACGCGGCCGCCTTGGTCTTCTCCACGCCGCTGCCCATGCCGCCCTGCTTTTTCCAACTGGTGCTGCCCACGACGCGCTGTAGGTCTGAAGCCGTGCGTGATTGCATGGAACGGCAGGGGGTTTTGTGAAAAGTGCCATATGCTGACCGGTCTGAGCCAGGGGTGCCACTTGTCACGATGTGATTGGCTGTGGACCAAATCATCATATAGGGGGTCAAGTTGTGGGAGCCTTCGGTTAAATTTTGCTAATTTTGAACTAAATCATCACATCTCGTGCAAGCTTGTGGATCCATAGTGCTATTACCTCCAATAAAAGACTCGGGTATGCATGAGGTGGCCGGGGAAACTTGATGTGGTATGCATGCATGCTGCATGCATGCTCCCAAAATGGTTCAAAGACTGCGGCGCCACTTGTGCTGCAAAGCTGACGCCCATGTGGCCATGTCTCATCACATCTTCTCATGGTGTTGTACGATTCAACCTTGACCCTACCCGCTCCATCAACCTTGACTCCCTGTCTCTCTCTCTCGTCATTGATTGCACACTAGAGGATTTACAGACTTTAGTGTGATCACATTTACGTTAGCACATGTTTTTTTTTCTTTTTTACAATGCATGGCAAGAGCTCTGCCGATTCCACTAAAATAGAAAAGAAAAATACAGAATGACCTGGTTTATAAGGAGGTGCCAGACGAGGAGGACGATGAGGAGGAGGCGCTGGAGCTTTCGCCTTGCTGCCAGTGATCACGACGCCGGCGGCTCCGGCAAGGGGGTCGTCAATATCTTCGATGACGACCAGTAGTTTCCTTTTCGAATGCAGCTTGTTTGTTTCATGTATTATGTAGTACGTAGATGAAATGGACGTTGCATGGATTTGTATGAAAATGAGAACTTGCAAATGGGGAGTGTGTTTGCAATGGCAGACAAATGAGGGGCGACCGGCTCCTATCCGCGGACATATGGGGGTGGGGTCATATTTGGCAACTCCGATTGTAGATGCTCTCAGAATTTAGCTAGATTTCATGCCCAGTTGGAAAGGCTCTCATCCGGTTTTTGTTTAATTACCAGAGCGAGTGTGTACCTTTCTTCTCCTGCAGTCCTATCTTTTTTTTCTTTTACATGGAGCTATGTGCGGTGAGATGAATAGATTAAAAAGATCTTTTTATACCATGTAGTCATCACTTGTTGTCGCCATAGGCGGAGGCCTCCCAACCCTATGAATAGAGGCTCTGCTGGAGAACTTTTTTCTTTTACATTAATATTTGGATTTCATTAATAAAGGGAAACGACTACAAAGAAAATCGTAGGACGGTTGTGCTCACTTTTACAGACAAGACGAGGCCGGCGACCAAACCAACACCATACAACGCCGGACACATGCCCGACGATGACATTGGTCTACCGGCTCCTCAACACTGTCCATCACACCGTGAAGATGGGATTGAAGCCGGAGCACCTTTATTCGACGCAACACTGCCAGTGCCAGATACATCCGAATGGTTCGACCACGAAACCAAATCCTAACCCTAGCTACATGCCGAACACACAAAACCGAAGTTCCCCCACCTCCCGCCGCCGAATAAGCAGGCGGATGGGAGGGAGCCACAGACCTTGCCGGCGGTAGGAGGGGGAGATCTGGGATACGGTGGCTAGGTCAAAGGAGAGTTCATGAGCAGCTTATGTTATTTTTAAGCGTGAACAACTTTTTCTTGTTCGCTCCCTAAACAGGTTTTGTTACCAATCCAGTCTACAAATAAGAAAAACTATGCCGCCCCTGGTTTCGAGAGCAACTCCCCACGCACATTCTCTCTCAGCGCCGACAACCCCAGCTCCCGACCCGCCAAAATCCCATCCAGCCGCCGGCATCGCCACCACCTACCACCCACCGGCGGTGACGCCATCCACCGCGCCTGGACGGCCGATGCTTTCTTGATCTCACCATGTAGCTAAAAGCTTCTCGTCCTGAACCCCGTCCAGCCCCCTCACTCCTCGCCGCCCTCCACTGGCAACCTTCCACGGCGTCGGACGGCGACAATGGCTACTACTACTCGAGAGCGCCTTCTTCCTCCTCAACCGTGAAGCTAGCTGCCTCGACTCCTCCAGTGAAAAGAGATCCCCTGAACAGTGAATCCCAGCCGCCGGTCACAGCCCTCCACGGCGGTCGACGCTTTCTTCCTCCTCAACCGTGAAGCTGTCTCTCCAACGCGACACTCCACGGCGACATCGGTTTCTTCCTCCTTGATAAGGTAACCAGACATCACTTCTCTTTACACATCGCTCCTCTCTCTCTCTGTCGATTCCAGTCCCGGACGGTAAAAATTTCCCCAATTTCATACTATTCACTCTTCTTCCGCAGCAAAAAAACACCCTAGCTTCAGGGAAAATCCACAGCATTCCGTTTCCATGGCCGCTGATTTGGAATGGAAAGCTGCCGAGATCGTGGCCGTGCTTGGCTGGCTGCTCTCGCCCGTCATCACCTTGCTCCTGCCCAAGATCCTTGTCTGCCTTGGCTTCGACGCATCCAAGAAGCTCCAGGAGCTGGAGATCCACATCATCCCGGAGCTGAAGAAGACGCTGCAGGCCGTGGATCAGGTGAGGATGATGCAGAGAGGAGAGAGGGTGAAAACCGATTTGGATGCGCTGGACAAGATGGCCGCCATGCTCAGGCATGCTCTGGAGGACGCCGAAGACATCTTCGACGATGCTCAGCACAAAGGTCGTGCTCGGGTGCTGGCATCGCCTCTGTGGCGCTTTCGCCACCTGCATTGCCCACTGCAAAAGCAGCTGCATCTGGATTGCATGCATCGTCGGTCCCAACGAAATCAGCTCGGCTGCTGCAGTGTGCACGGGACATCTCCTTGTTCCGTCTAGGCAGATCAGTGAATATCGGTGCCGTGATCTCAAACGAGTCCGTTCCTGTGATTATTGATATTCCAGCCTCTGACATTGAGCCTGATCCGGTGAGTACCGGTGCTGAAGCCTCTGGCACTGAGATCGTTCTGGTGACTACCGGTGCCACGGCCTCCGACGAGCCTGATCCGGTGACTACCGGTGCTGAGGCCTCTGGCAATGAGACATTTTCATATTTCTCAGGGCGGTGGCTCTCTTGCTTGTGCAGCTCGTTCGACTTGTTCAAGAACTGTTGTGCATCACTATACAACTGGTGGTTAGTTCATGTGTTTCAGGCTGCCTGCTTTTACAGAGACTGGTCATATCAAGTGATTGGCATCAAAAAATGCCCGGTAATCACCCACTCCATTGCCCCTTCGTTTCATATGTACATGTGAAAGTTCTCCGTACATGCATGCATAAGAAAAAGGCCCTTCTTTGAATTTTCTGTTAGTCTGAGTTCAACTTAAATCATATATTCATGGTGTGGGGACTGGGGACAAACATGTCATCTCATATGTATGCGCGTTCAAATAGCACTATAATACTTGTCTAAAGTGCTACAGACTTGTATTTGAAAAAAATTGGGAGTACATGCACGATTACTAGTTCCGCAGATGGCCAATCATGTGCCAACAGTCTGGCTCATCTGACGTAAGTCACAAAATTGTTGATTTGTGCCGTATTACCATGTTATCTCATTTGTTCCATCACTGATATCTCATTTGTTCTGCATACTCACCTATCTCTAATAGATAAAATAGGTATGTGACTGACATACTCATCTGATATTTTGCTTCTTGCAGGAGAATGCCTCCTTATTTGATATGTTAGATATATTCTCTACTGCTATCTCAATAGGGGAACTGAAGAAAAGAATACATAAGGTAGAAAACACCGTCAGTGAAGTGAAGAAGGCACCACTCTTGTGCGTGGCAAGCAACAGCACACAAAGTGATATTGCCAACAAGAACAGGAGAAGACTAGGAGCTGCTAGCAAGCGGGAGGTATTTGGTCGAGAGGTGTTGCGTGATGACATCATGGCAAGGCTGCGTGAGACACCACAGGTTGATGAACCTAGCTCTAGTCCATGTTACTCTGTGATTGGCATATATGGTGTTGCAGGGTCTGGGAAGACTACCTTTGCAGGATATGTTCGAGATTACATAAAGGAGGAATGCAAGGAGGAGAAACTTTTCGACACCATCATGTGTATTCATGTGTCAGAGACTTTCAGTGTGGAGGATATATTTCAAGAAATGCTGCAGGATATTAGCGAAGATAGTCTCTCCAGTATTTCAGATCATAGGGGACTAAACAAAAAGTTGAAGGAAGCATTGCGTGGCAAACGTTTCTTGTTGATATTGGATGATCTCTGGGTGAAAAACAAGAATGACCAACAACTGGAGGAACTAATCTCTCCACTCAATGTTGGGTTGAAAGGAAGCAAAATCCTGGTGACGGCTCGAACAAAAGAAGCAGCTGGAGCTCTGTGTGCCGATAAACTTATTGAAATGCCTGATTTGGATGAGGATCAGTACTTGGCGATGTTTATGCATTATGCACTAAGTTGTAAAAGTATTGCCCTTAAAGAATTTGAACAAGTTGGGAGAGAGATTGCCAAAAAGCTACACCGATCACCTATTGCAGCAGTAACAGTTGCAGGACGGCTTGGGGCAAACCCAAATATCAGTTTTTGGAAAAATGTTGCAAAGCTTGACATGTTGAATGACACCATGGATGCTCTCTGGTGGAGCTATAAGCAGCTTAATCCAGACATAATGCGATGCTTTGAATTCTGCAATATTTTCCCCAGAAGATTCAAATTGGATAAACACGACTTAGTTGGCTTGTGGATAGCGCAAGGATTTGTAAAGACTAGTTGTCCAACAGAAGACATGGAAGATGTAGCTGAGGGCTACATTCAAGAGTTGGTTTCATGCTCATTTCTGCGACCAGATGATTACTCTGAAGAATGCTTTGCAATTCATGATCTGCTGCATGATTTATTAGCCAAGGTTGCTGGAAGTGATTGCTTCAGGATTGAGAACATATGGAGCCACATAGGAGAAGGCTGGAAGGGAGAAGTCCCTCGAGATGTCCGCCATCTTTTTGTTCAGAATTATGATGGGGAATTGATTACCAAGAAGATCCTTGCATTGGAAAATTTACGCACCCTCATCATCTATGTTGTTGGATATACACCAGTCGAGGAAAAAGTCATTGAGAGTATATGCAAGAGGCTGCCGAAATTGCGGGTACTAGCAGTTGCTTTCGGGGAGGACTATTATGTAATCAGGAAACCCGATGGGTTCTCTGTCCCAGAATCTATTGCTCAGTTAAAGCACCTACGCTATCTTGCTTTAAGGACACATAGTTCATGCGCTGTAACTTTACCAAGCGCACTACCGAAGCTTCACCATATCCAGCTGCTAGATTTTTACAAGGGCAAAATACTGGAATTCCCCTTTGCTGATCTTGTCAAATTGAGGCACATGTTCTGCCGGCCAAACTTGAAATTCCGTAACTTGGGCAGGCTGATATCACTCCAAACGCTACCATCATGCTTCACAGTAAGTAATGAACAAGGGTATGAGGTGAAGCAGCTGAGGGACGTAAACAAGCTTCGTGGCAGACTGGACATCTATGGCCTTGAAAATGTGAAAAGCAAGGAGGAAGCTCTTGAAGCCAATCTAGCTGCCAAGGAACGGCTCACAGAACTGTGCTTGGTATGGTTTGGTGATGATGATACAAGGTGCAGTCCAGAAGTTGAAGCAGAGGTACTTGCGGGCCTGTGCCCTCCCGTGGGGATTCAAAAGCTTGTAATACATGGATACAGAGGTTCAAGGTACCCAGATTGGATGGTGGGTAAGCAGAGCGGTGGCCCAGATGGCCTGCGAAATCTTCAACTCCAGCGATGCAGCCAACTGGGACCTGGTCCTCAATTTGAGGCTTTCCCTCATCTTCGTGTGCTCTATATTTGGTGCTGCAGCTGGGACTCCTTGCCAGGCAACATGGAGCACCTCACGTTGCTCGAGAATCTAAATATCGTGGGATGCAAGAATATCCGGTGTCTTCCAGCACTGCCCCAGTCTATTGAGTGGTTTTCTCTTACTTCCTGCAACGATGAATTGATGGAGTCTTGTAAAACAGCCGGACATCCAAACTGGCAAAAGATTGAGCACATCCCCAGGAAAAGATTTTCGGTGATCTAGCAAGTAAGAATGTTATCCCTTTTGCTTCCTTGTTTTTCCATTTTGTACTCCTATGTGTTAACATTGCCTCTGTATATAATGGACGATCTGCAACTAACTCAGCTTATTATTGTTAACCCATTTGCTGTTGGTTGACGTTTCAGAAAGGCAGTGAAGAACGTCTGATGGTCTTGAATCAATGAGGAGAGGACAGTGAAGGACGTCTGAATGTTATCTCCTTCTTCTTTACCTCATTTCAAGCGTTGTATGACATTAAAAACCCACTTCCATTTCCACTTAGATATAGGCTGCTCTGCATTTCTGAGGATTCAGCTGATGTGAATGCCCTGAATGTTAGATTGTCTGGCCTATGTCGGTCCGTTTTCTCTCATTTACTTCCTCTTTTAGGTTTGTGGTGCTGTGATCAGTAGTTTGTTTTAAATGAAATGTCTTGCTTATGCTCTCCTGAGCTTGCTACTATACATGTGATATCTGTCAGCAAAGCCAACCTTTTATTTGGTTACTATATATGTGATATATGTCACCACAGATTACGAAATCCACAATATAGCTTTCATCTTCAGGTCGTTCTGACGCACAGATTCAGGCCTTCCTAGCTGACGTTCACCATCACGTGTGACCTCCTAGGCTGAAGCCCGGCCTCGAGTGTAACTCTGTTGTGCAGAATTTTTTTTGCTGTCAAAATGATTCATTCGTTGAGTAGCACTAGGTGCCTGCGGCCTATGGAGATTCACAACCTGAGCACCAACTCGGCACTTGCTCAACAACGGTCATCCATCACGATGCCACCGTCGAAGGCGATGTGTTGAGGGGCGCGAGCTGCGGCACAGCCAGAAGGAAGGTCCAGCGCACTGAACCGGAGAAGGTGCAGGCTTCTTATTCAGATGGTGGCCTTTGGGGTGCCTGGTTGTTGTGCTCTTGCATAACTTTTGTTGTTGTGTTGTCAAGCACTCAAGCTCTGTTTTCTTTGTTACCACGACCGAAAACTGAATTGATGATGACTTGTTGCCTAGAAACAGAGGTAGTTTACATATTGTCTAGAAGGGTGAGGGCCACGAATTCGAACTAGTAGGAAGTAATAGGAAGTAACTCTTGTGTAACTATTCCCTTTGTTCCTAATTATAAGAAATTTGAGATATTTTAATGTAGACTAGATACGGACTGAAACGGATACGGAGCTGCTAGCTAGCCGGTCTACTGTGTTGCTGTCATGTGATGTGTAGTATGTAGTGCTGACCTGCAACCTATATCGAGCTAGAAGAAATCAGGGCAGAAATAAAAAGAAACGTCAAATGAATAAACACACACACACACACATGTACGTATACTGAGTTTTGATCAGCTGTCCAAAATTCAGTAAGTAAAACAGAGTAGTCTTATGTAAACAGAGTGTCAATCAGGTGCAGCATAGTACAAATATACATAAACACATGGACGTCGGTCATGTAGGCTGTGCAGTGATCCTGGATTCTACTCGCACTGCACGACACTAACTAGTTCAGGCAGCGAAAGCAATTCATGGAATTTGAATTCGCCATCTGCTGCACACGGAGCATTGGAATGGAACAACTCAACAAATCCAACGGTGCCAAATTACAAGAGTAACTAAGAACCCAAGTCAACAAATTCGGAAGCAGACCAACATCTGTGCAACAAGTTCAAAAGCATTAATTGAAGAGATTTCTTTTCAGAAAAGAAAAAAATTAACTGAAGAGATTTGCAGAACACCATACTCGAACACATGAGAGAGAAGAGATTGCATATAGACCAAGGTAAAAAGTTAGGAACACATACAGAATCAACTACATTATTCAGACTCTCCCGCAAAAAAAAAATCATAGTAAGAAATAATATTTCTCCCGTTCTAGAATCAACAACATTATTCAGACTGAAAAAACAGAGCTGTTCTCATATGAAGCGCACAAGATGACATACTCCAACATCTAACAAGAGCATTACCATGGATTCAAACACCAGGAGAAAACGCAGGAGATAGGGACTCTTCGAGAAGACAAGAAGATACTAAGAGGAGGTGACGACGGAGGCCTGGAACTCGCGGGAGGTGGCAGCCATGGTGGGCAACCAGCTTGCCTCGTCTCGTTCCAGCTCGAGGGCTCCTGGACGTCAAGATAAAAGAGGTCTTCAACTCACCCCTAGAGCTTGAAAGGCTTGAGATCGTCGTCGTCATTGGGGATAATAACCTGAGAAACCAAAAAAAAATTAAAAGGAATGAGCATTTGTACCGTATTTAGAAATAAAATTAAGCCAAATTCTATAGAAGAAAGCTGGGAGAAATGACTCACTTGCTTGATAGGTACGAAGTGTGGGACGGTTGGGATGGATGTCCGCTGCATGCCTCAGCAGGACATCTGCGTCCTCCTTGCACTTATCTGAAGAGCTGCCTTCCTCACGCCAAAAGCCAACCTGGACTTGCTGGAGGGAAGGGAGGTGCCCCATGCTGACATCCAGGTCACCGCCGGCAATATCCGACGCCCGGGCATGGAACCACAGGATTTCAAGCATTGGCATAGCTCCTCGTGGAAACATTGATGGCACCGTGAGAAAACCAGAGAAGAGGCACTCTCTCAAACACGGGAATGCATTAGCGCCAACAACGAACATTTCGACACAACTGTACCTACGTTTGTTGGCCCAAAGCCTGAGAACACGAAGAGCAGGAAACATCCCGAGGATCTGAATGTCGACTTCAGGCTGGACTCTGTCCACTGAAATATTCATGAAGGAGAGGAGGGGAAACAATGATGAATTAACCCACCTAGGCAATGTGGTGGTGCATTTGCTAAACCAAAGGTACCGAAGCTGTGGGGTGGGCACCCAACCATCCCAGCTGACATCATACCTTGCACACTGTGCACCAAAAATTGTTAGATTCTGCATTTTCTGCAGCTTTCTCCACCAAAGAATTACACACACACTCATCGCTCCCATTCCAGTAAAGGAAGAGCACTCTCAGCTTGACCAGTTGTCCTAGCTCTTCCACATCCACCAATTTTCCAGTCAGCTCTTCTAGGGACGTCAGGTTCCCGATCCAAATGGGTAACACCGCATCGGCTGCATTTAGGCATATCAAACGTCTTAGACGGACAACACTTGACGGAATCGTTACTACACTTAATCCATTTTTTCCTAAGTCGAGTGTCTCCAAAAACTCTAGATTTCCTATTTCCACACGGAGCTCATGGACAAAAGTATTTCTTAGCCCTAGATACCTTAGGTGTAATAAATTCTCAATATGCCTGAGCTCCATATGGTGGAGATTTCTCCCAAGATCACAACCTTCTAAATCCAATACACGCAAAACTTGAAAGCATGAAATAGTTCTGATTAGATCAATATCTGTTCTGAAGAGAACAACGGACCTCACTTGTGGCATAGTTGTGGCATCAACCTGATTGATGGTGGGCTCTGACATGCTATTTTGAAAAGATAATCTGCGACTCTTGCTGTGTGAAATAGATTTGCTTTGTTGAGTACCATCTAATATTGTAGCAAAGTTTTGTTCACTAGACAGGGAACATAACAGATCAAGCACCATATCATGCACGCGACAGGCTTCAGCCTTGCCGGTAGCATCAAAATGTACTGGTTGAATCAAGTTTCTATTTGCGAGCTCATTGAAGTAACTCTCTCCAAGCTCAAATAATGTAGTTCCTTGTTTTCCACCTTGCACAAACCCTTCGGCTATCCACAACCATATTAACCGGTCTCTTCTTATCTCAAAATCCTCTGAAAATATACTGAGATATAATAAACAAGTCTTCAAATGGGAAGGTAAAATCGTAATAACTAAAGGACAATATTCTCTGCATGTCCTTTGCACTACCACCTTCTGCAAGTCCACGACCAATAGAACCAAGTATGATGTCCCACTGATACTTTGGCTCCACCTGTTGATCTTCACCATTACTGGCTAAAATACTAGCAATAGTAATGATGGCTAGTGGTACTCCACCACATTTCTTTAAGATTGCCTTAGATAATGACTCCAATTCAGCAGGACACTTACTTCCTTGAGGAAATATTCTTTTATAGAAGAGTCTTTCGGAGTGATCCTCAGTAAGAGGTTTCATCTGATATATTATATCACCACCAGAAAAGCAACATGCTCTAGAGATACTGCCTATGCGGGTGGTAGTCATTACTCGACTACCGAGACAGTTGTCGGGGAAAGCACACTTGATAAATTCCCATGCTTTTTCATCCCATGTGTCATCAACTACAATGAGGTACCTCAATTGTTTTTGGTGTGTTAGTTTGCAAATCAACCAACATAACTAGGTTTATATATGTTTCGTCTAGAAGTCGGCAGAAAGTTATAGAAAATATTAATCACTTAGAAACATGTATAGTTTATAATTGGAAGATGCATATAAAACACAATTGTAAGGCATGATAACAGCATCCATTTAACAAAACCAAAATAAAACTTCATTCAGACACGTTATTCACCAGCTAGCATTACATGCTCTCCTGGAAAGAATAATTATAATTATTTGCTGCTACGTACGTCTCAAGAAATTAATATAAATGACTAATCGGTTAGAAACATCAAACATATATAGTGCATACTCTTATCCTGAAGAAACTTTCTCAATTCATCGAGGAGTTGTCCATCGTCCCTAGCAGCTTCGTTGATGGTTGCATACTTGTTCTCGTCAAGTTCATATAAGATCTTCTTGAAAATCTTGGTCATGTCAGGTTTCCGAGACACGGAAACAAACACTACACTATCAAACAACACTTTGATCTTGTCATACACTGCTTTGGCGAGAGTTGTCTTGCCCAACCCACCAAATCCAACAATAGACATGGTCCGTAAGTGCTCCTTGGACCTCTCATTACTATCACACAACTTCTTGATCAGCTCATCTCTTACATGATCTATCCCAACGAGCTCCGTGACATCTTTATACACCGCCTTGAGGCGAGGATCAATGGCATCACCACTACCGCCGGGCTGTCGGCCGGCATGCATGGCAGCGGCAGCGGTGGCGTGCGGCAGGCGGCAGGCTGTGGCCAGTAGCGATGTGATGAGGCGGCATGCGCATCCGCGCCGGTGGGGCTGTCTGACCGGCAGGCGAGCTGGCGACGGTGTCGGGCAGCAACGGTGCCCGATGGGACGGGGGCGGCGCCCGGCAACCGAATCTCATGCAGCCGCATTGAATGGGGGCTGGCACGGCGAACGCGGGCGGGTGGGAAAACTTCCCTGCATGCGCGCCAACGATCACACCGACAAATATCTGCGAGCGGGCGGGCGGGCGGGCGGGATAACTGAAAAAAATTTGTATTCGTATACATATACGCTCCGGCAGGCGAGTGGGCGGGCGGCCTCTTTTTTAAAATATGCCCATCGTGCCCTGTGTTATTACGAGGTACCGGACAATCACGGTCATTCTTGTGTTGAGGGGGTCTATTGAAGCGGAAGTGATAAAGAAATGCTTGACAGTGTGGACATTCAGACACAGACTTGCAAAGCTACAAACATGGCTGGGCTGGGTGTTACTACGTACTAATACTCTCTAATTATTTATTTCTCCTCAGTCCATTTTGCCTAAAACATCACAACATCTTAAAGAATAAACCACATAGGCAGGCGTGCACATGACAAAAGAGTGATGATCAGCTCTTCACAAATTCAGTAAGTAAAACAGAGTAGTCTGCTGCACGATGAAAGCATACGTACATAGACACAACAGAGTAAATAAAACAAAAAAAAGCAAATAGCAAATCATGCATGCGTACATAGACACATGGACGTCGGTCATCCAGGCTTTAGTGTCGTTACTACTCTCTCCGTCCCAAAATACTTGTCGGATAGATGGATATAACTGAAATATATCTAGATTCATCCATTTCTCCGACGAGTATTTCTGGACGGAGGGAGTACTAAATTATTATTAGCAAATCATGCATGGTGAAACCAATGTTCCTGAATTCTCCCGGTGCTGCTGCAGGACGACGTCGTTGTCCAGCGAAATCACAACTGCATTTGCAAGGCACTAACTAGTTCAGGGAGCAAAAGCAGTTGGCTGAACTTGATTTGCAATCTACTACACGCGGAGCATTGGAATGGAACAACAGAAAGATCAATCCAACGGTGCCAAATTACAAGAGTAACGAAGAACCCAACTCAACAAATTCAGAAGCAGACCAACTTATCTGTGCAAGTTCAGAAGCATTAACTGAAGAGGGTTACAGAACACACAACACAGAAGCTAGAGAGAAGATTGCATGATAATATAGACAAAACTAAGAAGATAATTAAGAACACGTATATATACCTAACTAAATTATGACAAATTAAGATAAAACAAGATCATTGTAGGAATTAGTATTTCTCCGGTTACAGATTCATATGTTTCTTCATACTGAAATAACAGCTATGTTCCCACATGGACCGCACAATTCTTACAAGATGACATCTAACTAGCTAGAGCGTACGATGGGCTCAAACACCACGAGAAAGCACCAAGCTAAAGCACAGCAAGACTATGATGGTGCCCCTGTAGACGGTGTGCCAGGGAGGACGCGCCGGACGGAGGCCTGGGATCTGGCGGGAGGTGGCAGTGGCACCCATGGTGGCGGCCGAGGCGAGGGCGGAGCAGAAGTAAGCCAGCTTGACAGGGGAGAAGGAGACGCCCGCATCATGGCGTCATTGTCGTCGTCTCCGCAAGGTCCAGCTCGAGGGCGATGGATTCTGTAGGAATTGCGGGATCAGGGTGGCCTGGCTTGGGGAATTTGCCAGAATTTGCTTCAGAAAAGCTTCACCCTTGGTTGCAGAAGAAGCCAAGCCGCAACCGGAGCTTGACCGGCACACACGGGATCGTCGTCGTCATTGGGCTTAATCTAAGAAAAATAAAGCAATCACCATGTGCATTGTTTGGAGAAGTAGAATTGAGCCATAATCTACAGACGAAACCTAAGAGAAAGGACTCACGAATGATACGAAGGGTGGGACGGTTGGGATGGGTGTCCGCTGCATGCCTCAGCGCAATATCCGCCTCCTCCTTGCACTTATCCGAAGAGCTGCCTTCCTCACGCAAAAAGTAAACCGTGACTTCCCGGAGGGAAGGAAGGTGCCCCATGCATGCTGACATCCAGCTCACCACTGGCAATGTCCGACGCTCCGGCATCGAACGACATGATTTGAAGCATTGGCATAACTCCTCGTGGAAACATAGATGGCACCGTGAGAAAACCAGAGAAGATGCACTCTCTCAAACATGGGAATGCGTTAGCACTAACGACGAACATTTCAACACGAGTGTACTGAGATGTGTTGGCCCAAAGCTGGAGAACATGAAGAGCGGGAAACATCCCGAGGATCTGAATGTCGACTTTAGGCTGGACACTGTCCACTGAAATATTTATGAAGGAGAGGAGGGGAAACAATGATGAATTAACCCACCTAGGCAATGTGGTGGTGCATCTGCTAAACCAAAGGTAGCGAAGCTGTGGGTTGGGCACCCAACCATCCCAGCTGACATCAGACCTTGCACACCATGCACAACCGTAAATTGTTAGACTCTGCATTCTCTGCAGCTTGCCCAAAGACACCACCAAAGAATTACACATGCTCTCATCGTTCCCTTCCCAAAAAAGGTAGAGCACTCTCAGCTTGACCAGTTGCCCTAGCTCTTTCACATCCACCAATTCTCCAGTCAGCTCTTCTAAGGACGTCAGGTTCCCGATGCCAACGGGTAACACCGCATCTTGTGCATCTAGGAATATCAAACGTTTTAGACGGACAACACTTGGCGGAATCACTGCTACACTTGATCCATTTTTTGCTAAGTCGAGTGTCTCCAAAAACTGTAGCTTTCCGATTTCCATGGGGAGCTCAGGAACAAAAGTGTTTCTTAGCCCTAGATACCTTAGGTGTAATAAATTCTCAATATACCTGAGATCAATATGGTGGCGATCTCTCCCAAGTCCACAACCTTCTAAATCCAATACACGCAAAACTTGAAAGCATGAAATAGTTCTGATTAGATCAATATCTGTTCTGATTAGATCAATATCTGTTCTGAAGAGAACAACGGACCTCACTTGTGGCATAGTTGTGGCATCAACCTGATTGATGGTGGGCTCTGACATGCTATTTTGAAAAGATAATCTGCGACTCTTGCTGTGTGAAATAGATTTGCTTTGTTGAGTACCATCTAATATTGTAGCAAAGTTTTGTTCACTAGACAGGGAACATAACAGATCAAGCACCATATCATGCACGCGACAGGCTTCAGCCTTGCCGGTAGCATCAAAATGTACTGGTTGAATCAAGTTTCTATTTGCGAGCTCATTGAAGTAACTCTCTCCAAGCTCAAATAATGTAGTTCCTTGTTTTCCACCTTGCACAAACCCTTCGGCTATCCACAACCATATTAACCGGTCTCTTCTTATCTCAAAATCCTCTGAAAATATACTGAGATATAATAAACAAGTCTTCAAATGGGAAGGTAAAATCGTAATAACTAAAGGACAATATTCTCTGCATGTCCTTTGCACTACCACCTTCTGCAAGTCCACGACCAATAGAACCAAGTATGATGTCCCACTGATACTTTGGCTCCACCTGTTGATCTTCACCATTACTGGCTAAAATACTAGCAATAGTAATGATGGCTAGTGGTACTCCACCACATTTCTTTAAGATTGCCTTAGATAATGACTCCAATTCAGCAGGACACTTACTTCCTTGAGGAAATATTCTTTTATAGAAGAGTCTTTCGGAGTGATCCTCAGTAAGAGGTTTCATCTGATATATTATATCACCACCAGAAAAGCAACATGCTCTAGAGATACTGCCTATGCGGGTGGTAGTCATTACTCGACTACCGAGACAGTTGTCGGGGAAAGCACACTTGATAAATTCCCATGCTTTTTCATCCCATGTGTCATCAACTACAATGAGGTACCTCAATTGTTTTTGGTGTGTTAGTTTGCAAATCAACCAACATAACTAGGTTTATATATGTTTCGTCTAGAAGTCGGCAGAAAGTTATAGAAAATATTAATCACTTAGAAACATGTATAGTTTATAATTGGAAGATGCATATAAAACACAATTGTAAGGCATGATAACAGCATCCATTTAATAAAACCAAAATAAAACTTCATTCAGACACGTTATTCACCAGCTAGCATTACATGCTCTCCTGGAAAGAATAATTATAATTATTTGCTGCTACGTACGTCTCAAGAAATTAATATAAAGGACTAATCGGTTAGAAACATCAAACATATATAGTGCATACTCTTATCCTGAAGAAACTTTCTCAATTCATCGAGGAGTTGTCCATCGTCCCTAGCAGCTTCGTTGATGGTTGCATACTTGTTCTCGTCAAGTTCATATAAGATCTTCTTGAAAATCTTGGTCATGTCAGGTTTCCGAGACACGGAAACAAACACTACACTATCAAACAACACTTTGATCTTGTCATACACTGCTTTGGCGAGAGTTGTCTTGCCCAACCCACCAAATCCAACAATAGACATGGTCTGTAAGTGCTCCTTGGACCTCTCATTACTATCACACAACTTCTTGATCAGCTCATCTCTTACATGATCTATCCCAACGAGCTCCGTGACATCTTTATACACCGCCTTGAGGCGAGGATCAATGGCATCACCACTACTGTTGGCATGTGCCTCAATCATATACCTCTGGCGCAGGTCGCCTAACTCCTTGGCGAGCCGCTGAGCCTCTTCAATGTCATCGGAGATCTGATGAAGAGCCTTACCCTTGGTAAACAGTTTTGTGGGCTTTTTGAGGAACTTCTTGACTTTGTTCCTCATGTTGGTGGAGCCACCGTCATGGCCGTGGTCCTCCACGCGGACGACGAAATTGTCGACGGCGTCCTCCATATGGTAGGAGAGGTCCCTCACTTTGCCCGCCCAGATGAGGACGTGCTCGTCGAACTGCTCGGCCGGCTTGGCGCCGATCTTGCGTAGAACGGCGTGCATCATCTTCAACTCAGTGATCAGAGACTCGACGCGCTTCCTCACGCGTTTCTCCAGGTTGCACTCGCCAGCGAGTAGGCTGCCGAGCTTCTTGATCAAGGGGATCATGGCGGCCTCCATGGCTTGGACCAGGAGGAGAGGTGTCTTTTCTTGCTGTGGCGGAGGAGTTGGTGGTGGATAAACGGAGGAGACGATGGGTTGATTGATAGAGTTGGAGAAACAGAGGAGACGCTGGGTTGATTGATAAGAGTTGGCGGTGCTACTGCTACAGATGGATGGTGCAGCAGTCCATGTGATGTGCGTGAGTGGGCGATGGGTTGATTGATAGAGCTGGAGAAACAGAGGAGACGACGGGTTGATTGACCCGTCCACTAATGACCTCACGATGTCTTGCAGTGTCGACCCCATGATGTCTGGCATCCGATGCTTTGTTAGAGTTACCAAGGAGGTAAGATTTGGAGCTCTCTGGTCATGTAAAGCTCTGTTTTTAGTTTTTACACATCGCCATAGTAGAGCTTGAGAAATGGAGGAGACGACGGTGGTGCTGCTTCTAATGATAGAGCTGGAGAAAATGAGCTGCTACAGATGGATGGTGGTATGCAGCAGTCCATGTATGTGCGTGAGTGTCGACCCCTCCACTAATTTCATGATTGATGCCTTGCTGCAGTGAGCCCACGCTGCCTTGCTGCTGTTTTCTGCAGTGACCCTAGAGAATGCTGGCATGGCATCCGATGCTTTGTTAGAGGCGCCAAGGAGATAAGATTTGGAGCGGCCCGTGCTCTCTGGACGGTCATGGTAGTAAAGCAGTGTTTTTTTTATGCAGTGATTCTTCTTCACGTTGCAGTGTAACTTGATGATGCAGTGATTTTTCATCATGGTTCGGTGTGTGTATATGATATGAATTGAACAATTAGGTCAAAAAAAAAAAGAAGCTTGGCGAGTTAACACTAAAGGAAATATCAAAAATTTAAACTATACTAAATTATTTAATACTCCCTTCGTCCCAAAATAAGTGTCTTAACCTTACTACGACCTTGTACTAGAGTTAGTACAAAGTTGATACAGAGTGAGTACATGATATGAATTACACGGTGATACAAGATCAATTAACGTATATATTGGTGTAATGAAATTTCAAATCCATCAGTCAAGCTGATCATGAGGCACATTTGTAGTTCACAGCAATTTCTAGAAAAAAAAGGATTCAATAAAATAAATTTTAAAAAACTGAGTTAATGTAAGGCATCATATGGTATATTTGCACTAACATCATTTTATGTGTGATGAGACCAATTTTTGTAAATTTTATGAAAATAATAAAATAAGGAAAAACAATTCGATATGAAGTTATTCTACACTTACTACACATAAGAAACTCATTTGTAAAATAGAACTGACAATTAAAAGAAGAAAATTTTGTATTCTTTGCATCCGATGCCAAGGAGAGATTTGGAGCCATCGGTGCAAAGATTTTTCTTCCGAGTTCGGTGTGTGTAATTAAACGATGGCTTGCTACTCTTCTTGAGGCGCCGTACTGGGTCTCCCCGACGATGAACTGTATTTATACCAGTACTAAAAGGAGTTGTAATGGGACTCCACGTCTACAGCATGAAAACTAACCCCGGAATAGAGGGCAGACCATTTACATATATATGTGCCGGGCGACATGATCTATTCATGAAAAAACTTGTTCGACATCCGGTTAATCTAGTTGAATTTGAACTATTTCTCGCTGAATTTGAAGTATTGTTATACTAGACCTATTTATATCCTATGAATAGATGATTTGTGCTATTTCCTATCCAAATTTTGATGAATTATATCGTGTTTGATGAAATATATGCGTTTAGCGTTGGATGGCCGGCTTCGATATTCGTGTTCATAGACTTGTCTCCCGTGTCTGTGGACCCAGCGTTGGAGATTTTTATTCGAAAAGGAGGATGACCCCCGGTCTCTGCATCTGGGCAATCCATGTATCCATTTTATTAATTATTCACAAAGACAATATAAAGTAATACAACAGTAAATCTGAAAACACCATCTTGGCAACATCTGTCACTTCTCCTATCTAGTTGAGGAAGGGATGCCAATTGTCTAAGCCGAATACCAAACAGATATCACACGAAGCTCAACATCGACCTTGCCAGGCTCGCCGTCGGTGCCACCATGGCGCCAGAAAACGACACCTTCCTACGTGCGTCCATCATAACACATTCCATCGTCGAGACCCTGCTGCGCCACCCCGTCGAGATACGTCGTCTTTGATGCGGTAAATGAAACAGCGCTCCACCACTTGTCTACCCCACCCGACAGCTGCTCCAAAAACGATGCCCCCATGAGGGAGAGCGACGAGTAAATAGCCACCATTGTCAGATTCGGGAAACCCGGGTCTAGGTTTTCACCAGGAGCAGCGCAAGGAAGTCGACGATAGCTGCAGTGGCAATGTCTTCAACAAGATAATGATGCAAAAACGCAGCCGTCGCCCGCCATGACCGAAGTCATAGGACGGTTTTCACCGGCAGCATCGCCTCCCCACTCGATGCCAGGACTGGATGCGACTTGCCACAACCAGTCGGCCAACCACCTCTGGCGAAGGAGATGACCACCACCATCACGCCCAGGGTCGGAGCCCTCGACGTCCTTGTGTTGCAGGTCTAGTCCAGAAGCCGCTTGCCGTCGCCGGATCAGAGGAGATGCATGACGAGAGCCTGACGTGTGGCCCGTTGAAGCCCATTTGGGCCTAGATAGGGTGCCCTAGCCGACGTCGTGGAGATCTCGCCGTCGCCGTGACTAGCATGCTGACCCTGGTATCCGCCAGCCCGTGCCACTACCCTTCGCATATGGCAGGAGTGGACCGTCGCCACCCAGATCCAATGGTCGGCTGAGGAGAATTGTCGCCGCCGCCGCCGTGTGTTGCCCTCGGCGGCGGCGGCGGGACGGGGGATCCTTTGCTGTTGGCGGCTGGAGGCGGATGGCGGGCTTTTCCCGATGCGGCGCGGCGCCGCTGTAGGGGGAGGAGAAGCCCTAATGCAAGTTGTACTTATACACTCCTCGTCTCTTAGGATTATAGGTGTAGAATTCTAATTTGCTGGCCCACAGTTAAAGCAAACACAAATAGTTCAGATGACGGAGATTACATGCATCGTCTTTTTAATAGGAAAGGGTACACAAGGACCCTACAAACAACAGAAAAGTTGATGTGATGCATGTGAGGGCGGCTAAACTTCAAGTGGCATGTCTCTTGGTTAGGTCTTGCACTGCCACGCATGCAAAGCTGACAGGCCATGTCTCATCACATCTTCTCATTTTCAGACTACAGTTGCCGACACAAGTGGTACTGCTCTGCTAAGTCTGGTCCATGTGCGTCACCGGCCCCAACACCCTCCCATCCATGTACGGACTCGAGTCTTCAAGTGTCTCTCAAAATTGCTCCTGGTACGTCGCAATGCACATTATTTCCTGGTTTGCGAAAAGGAGGAAGGAAATACAACACTCTCTCAAAATTAAAAGGTTTATGGACAGTCTCGACGTATATGGATGATATGAGAGGCTCGATTGGGTGACTTTTTCCTTCAATCATGGTGATCGATTGGGCGTGTTCGTGAACATTTGAAGATGATTTTAAAGGGGCCGGCTTTAGATGCTCTGCACGTAGTCAAATACATGGTGCTGGGAGCGCGGTTGATAAGTTAACGTGGGTGGGTTCAATGTTAACGTAGTACGGGTTCGATGCATGCTCCCCGTCACACACACACTCTCTCTCTCTCACACACACACACAACTATCGAGGACAAGCTCTGCCTACTACTGTCATGAGTCAGAGCATCTTCATCAGCAATTTGGCCTGTGTACATGTGCCCACATGCATGGAACGCTCGCCTAGCTAGCCATTGGACCCTTTGTGCCTGTGAAAGACGGACCCTTTGCGCGTGCCCCAATCTGTTGATGAGTTTCAGCAAAGTTGTTTCAGTAGTTTATTTGCTTTGCTTGCCAAAAGGAGAGACTCTGATCTGTGATTTAAACATTATCAGAGCAGGGCAGTCGGGCAGATGATCTGAGCTGAATGTACGACTAGAGTACGTAGAAGATCTGCGTGATACTAAACTTGGTTCTCCATTCAGACAATGATCTCTGTCTATTAATTTGTTCCTAAAAAAACTACTCCCTCTATTTTAAAATATAGTGCGTCCGCGCTTCCCAAGGTCCAACTTTGATCATAAATTTAACAAACGAGACTGACTGCAGCGGAAGAAAAAATTATATAATTGAAAACTTCTTTTGAATACAAATTCACCGGTATAACATTTGCTCCCGTCACAGTCGGTCTCGTAGGTTAAATTTAAGGTCAAAGTTGAAGCACGGAAATAGAGAAAACACTATATTTTAAAACGAAGGGGTACCAGTTAGCCTGCTTTTTGTTACACTTGCACGTCTCGGCATTGGGCAGCTAGGGGCTGCTGCGTACGTACATGTTTCGACTGGCCTGTGGTCAACAAGTTAGTGGCGACGACTCTGTCCTGGCCCTTATTTTGAGTCATGAATCTTGACAACGGATCAGAAACGTGTTGACTAGGTTTGCATATCAGATCGATTCAACTCTGTTTTCACTTTTCACTTTCCAGGGATCAAGTAGACGTGATTCCCTTTGTAAACAGTCTAGGAGAGTACCAGGGATTAAGTTACAACATTGTTTAATCGGCCTACCTTAGTTACTAAATATAAGTCTTTTTAAAGATTGACCGAGAAAGGGTTTCCCCCGCTTTGTATTACAAAGCAACAACCACGATACAGCCAACGATAGGTGCTGGGGCGAAAGTAGCACAATCACGCCCAAAAAGAAACAAAAGAGAAAACATAAAAGAAACAAATGCCAAGAACGGCGGATCAACGAAAAACAAAGAAGCCTCGCGACTGCTGCGCCCATCGGAGAACTCCCGCCAAGCTCCAAAACTCCGGAATGCCAACACGAAGCAACACCTCCAAGAAGGGATGCGACGACGACGACGCTGCTGCGAAGGGTTTCCCCCGGTATGCGGCGAGGTGATAGGAAGGGTCGCCCCGACGCCCTCCAGGAAGAACTGATGACACCCGCAGGCGCCGCCACGCCGATGTTGGCCAAG